ACATTGCCTACATGGTGATGCAGCTTTTGCAACAACTTCCAGGTTTTTTAGTGATGCAGTCGCGATTCAGATCGGAAAACTTCCCAATTCTCGGCGAGCAGTAGTTCCGACATAATTCAAAATATTACCCATTCCCTCTCTGCTTTATGTCACGTTTAACCCGATAGATGAGATTAGCTAGAATTTTGATTTTGAGCGGTCTCCTGTCTATCACTTGATCTAGTTGGCTATGATTGTGCAAAGCGCTCCATTAAAACTCAGTGGATGTCAAATGCGGCTGAACCAGAATGCCAACCCCGAATTTTCCTAATTATGCGCGCAAGTTTAATGTTGTAAAGCCGTCGTATTGGCTACATTATAGTATTTTTTTGTTGTTGCTGAAAATCGAGTTTTGTATTGCAAAAGTTCGACAACTCTCTCATGATGTGTCCGTCAGTACCAGTTGAGCAGAGCATTCAAATGCGCTCTCCATCTTATTTATGGAAAAGGCTCAGTGGATTCCATGACTATCATTCAAAATGAATAAGAGCTTAAAACTTCTCAGACCACTTAGTTGAAACAGATTGACTTTTGATGCTTTTGAAAGTAAGAAATGCAGTGATCATTTCTCTTTGAACAGATAACAGATGGTGGGTGTTGCAAATGTTTCATATTTTAGGATGTGGCTGTTCAAAAAAATTTGAGATTCGAGTAATGTGATAGTGTTTGAAAGAATCAGGTGGCACTATAATTTTGTCCAGCTTCCGGGAGGAACTCTAATTTTTCTGTTTTTCTCCGTTCGAACTAAAAAGAATGAAAGGCGTTTCAAGATGTCATGTGAGCTAAAATGCGTATTACACAGCAAAGTTCCAGACAGATCCTTCGACAAGAAAGCAAATTACGAGGAATTCTAGAGTGGCTTTATAATTATGTCCAGCACTGTAGCATCGAAGTTCGATCCCGGCCAACCAAGCCCTTCGTCCTTTGATGGAGGGAGGGGGGGGGGTGAGGGGGAAATAACTTATTGACATGATAATTGTTCACCCCGCAAGTCATTGTGAAAACTACCCTTTTCGTTTGGGAAGTAGAATTCGGCTCATGTATTGCGTCAAAATCAAAAAATCTACTAATATATCGGTGCAAAAAGATTTCGAATATTATCCTTTTTCCTAGACATTTTGTGAAATAGAAGCTACTCTGGTTGACGCCAGTTTACTAGTCTTGACATGTAAAACATAGAGCTGACTCATTACCATTTCAGCGAATTAGTGGCGAATTAGTGCGCTTCCCAGGCAGATTTCGGTTTTCTGAGAAGTTTGTAGATGAATGCTCTAAACTGCTTACTAATCTTTATTCATGACCTCACTGAGCGAATGAATTCAAAAACTTGATTGACTTTCTGCTAGAGCCGTTAGAAAGTTTGAAATATGCGAGTAATAGGAGGAAAGGCAGTACAGAAAAGGTTTATCAAATTTCACTGTGGCATCCACATTCCTACGAAAGTCCGACAAATTACTTGTTTCGCACCAGAGATCAGAGGATATAGGAGAAAGCATTGCTCTGGTCCACTTTAATACCCGTAAATGTTTTAGAGGAAAATTTGCAAAGGACGACAAATGTTTTTTTGGCTGTTGAAACAAAAGCCAGAAGGTTATAGTGTATCCATAAGGGTTTTCATAACCTGCTCTCAAATAGTAGAAGAGTTTTTTTTTTTCAGCTAAAGAAATGCACTTTTGAACCTGCTATACAGTTGTCCTATTTCGGCTTCCGAACTAATGTTTTTGACTATTCACATTTTATACTCTGAATCTAAAGTAAATGTTTAGTAGGTGTCGCAAGAAACCCAACTGATTATAGCAGTATCTGAATTTTTTTTTTGTCGCCATTTAGTAAAGTCCCATGCTTTTTTTGGCAAAAAATATCACAATATAATCCAAGAATTTGGCTATATTCAAGAAACGAAAGTGCAAGTGGGCACTGGAAAATATGATGTTTATGTTAGTAAAGTATATGATGTTCACATCAGATTTACTTCCATAATGATTTAGTCCAAATCGCTTTCGCATATTAATGTATACACAAAAATAGAATTTAGACAAACAAGATATGTAAAATCTCAAAAAGATTAGCATGGTATGCTATTCGAATCAGTCATTACACGGATCAAATCCTCAAGACTCAGTATATCTTCGACTTGGACTTTTGATGGAGGACGTTTATAGTACAACGTCGCCATGTATGTACATATCCGATTTACTAATGACTGTTTTGCATAGCATCTAATAAATGACTGACTGCGAAAGTACATCATATCCTGTCATATTAGTTCGTGGAAACAAAATATGGGACGAGTCATTGCATTGATGATAATTACTACGTGTTGAAAGTTCAGGATAAAGATGAGATAAGTGGTGAGAACCGGTTACCAACCGTGGCCCTCAATGATTACTGGGGTGACTTGACGCCCAGAGGGAATTGCTTGAAGAGCTTACTTAGCTCAGGGGCGGGGATTGAACCTTGGTCCCAGCAGAGACAGTGCAAAAGGATGAGGCCCGCATACTTGAGAATAAGGTATTCAACCCATCTGCAGCACTTCCGGAGTTCAAATGCAGTGATTTGTAATGCCTTAAAAACCAAAGCTTGAACTTGCAGATGTAAGAAAATTCTCATGAGTATGATTGCAGAGAATTCCAAAAAAAAAATTTTATGCGAAGTATTTTTTGTCTTTCGCCAAATAATAAGCATATATGCGTTGCGAGAATGACTCGTCCATGCATAATTAGCAACTTCTTATGAACTAGAATGGCACAGGAGTGATTTCTCGAAAGAGCCAATATATTAGCACATAAGTGTGTTTTATTATGCGTAGTCTCGTCCATTAATATGAAATGGAATGGGCTTAGTAATGTCTAAACATTTGATCTTGTTAGCAGCTGGATTCTTATAGAGTTTCACCACAACTCAGACGAATTCGTTTTTTGAAATAACCGAATAGAGTGAATCATCTTTATTTGGTTCATAGGTTTTGAATTTTGATTTGGAAGTTTAGTGAGTGCCTTCAATGTAAGCTCCATGACTTTTTTCAAGGCATTGAAAGCCTATTGGTTCATTTCAACTTCAAGAATTCCGGTACATGTCGCAATTACATACATAACTCTAATCCTCAGACAAGGAGATGTTGAAAAAGTGTGCAAGTCATTAGACAGACTTGTCACTATGAAAGACTGGTGACTTGAAAATGAGATTAAGTAGGTAGGATGAAGGACGAAGAATTTGAAGAATCGTCTTTTATGAACACATTTTCTCATTTTTTGGGAGGTGCTGCAGAGCCATAAATTTTGTGAGCGAATTGAATGCTGTGAAGATGCCATTTACACCAGTTTTATTAGATGCTTTGCAGACGAAGAGGTAATTGTCTTATTTTTGAAGCTTCTAAGTTCATCCGAAGCTAGGTGTGTAGTATTAAGCAAAAATAGGCGGATGTTTTTGAAGCCTGGATTTCCATAAAATTCTATCCTAGCAGCAGACAAAAATGCAAAAGTTTGATGCAGCCTAAAGTTCTTCTCGAGCACTACAGCATGTAATGAGGCAGTTTATCCATGTTCTTTTAAGAGTTCTTTGCGCTGTCTTTCGTTATTGTGCACTTTGATGTACTTCCGTGCTCTTGAGACAGCGTTTTCTTTTCGTTAAAAATGGCACAAGAATGATAGCTCTGTTATGATGTGGATAATCAACTAAGACATGAAAGAAGTTATTTTGCGCTGTGAATCACGTTAATTGCTGCTCGTTCAAATAACAAAGCCTAAGTTCGAAGATGGAAAACTTTGCAGCCAGAGTGCTAAGGAGAGCAATGAAGCTTGCAAGTTATCTCAAAATGTACTCAGCTTGCACTAAAAGCTTTAGTTTCCCACACAATCTCAAGAAACTTTTGAAACGGTTTGGAAAATGTATAAGCAGTCACAAGGCGCACATTCCAGGAAGGAGTTATGAGGCGTTATGAATGCTATTGTCCAGGTTACTGCCATACGGCAAATCTTGAGAAAAAGCAAATCTTGAATGTATTTAATGCAAAAAAAAACCAAACGTACATCTGTAATAATGGGTGTAATTACATTTCAGTAGTTTTTCAAAACCTGCTTTGTTGTTCAATGAGGTTTGATTCTTAAACGGAAAATGCGCCTGGAATTTTTTGTTTCCAGAATGTAAGATTGACCATCCAACTATGGTTTGAGTCCCAGTGAACTTTGTGACAAGAATCACGGGCGGGGGGGGGGGAGGGGGAGGGGGATAGATGACTTTATGTAAAATGACTCATCTGCCCTTATCTTCCTTGTTCGCTGAGATTTTTTTCTGAAACAATGGTTTGGTCTGTCTTTCTCTTTTCTCAAAAAAATAGTGACTGTTCGTAACCCGCTAAAAAAGGTGAAAAGAAATTTTTTTTATATGCTTCATGTATATTGGGCAGTTCAATATATACGAATGTAAGCAATAACTTTTGCAAAAGAGAAGATGAGATAACTATGAGTTGAGTGTAAAAATACAAGATCACCTTTGTTTTTAACCCAGTAAAAAAAGATGGTTTTGCCTGAGGGCTAATCATCTAGAAATTATAGTTTTTCACGTCTAACGCTTTACTCAGTCTGAACTTTTTCTATCTAGATGAAACATCATTGACTTTATGGTCGAGTTATTTTTAGCTTAATTTGACAGTTTGCAGACCAAGCGCGGAATCTCACGACTTCACAATTCTAATATGCTAATACAACCGTTTCAATAAAGCAAGCATAGAATAAATGTTTACTTATATTTCTCTGGATCTATATACCTATGCGTAAGCCGGTATAAAGCTTAGATTACACTACTGACTTACAGGGACCATAACTCGTAAAATGTTGTGCTTAGTGTGCAATGCACATATTTACTTACTACTCTACAGTAATATGCATGTTGAGTTCAAAAGGCCAAAAATGCTTAGTTAGCTTTACAAATTTGATTTATCCAAATACTTCTATCTATTGCAGATCACTGACGGTCTATGGAAGCAGTCAGTAAACCTCTCGATATGCTTTTCAAATTCTCGTCAAACAGCTACAGTGATTACGGTAGAAATTCGAGATCGCGGATCTGGAAATCGTGGTGAAGCTGCGATTACCTTTGATCCCTTGTATCCTGGATTCGAAATTGTTGCACTTCGGCCTGTATACAACATTAGAACAAAAGAACTGCTGCTGAAGGTTAGTTGGAATGAAGACAGCGTTTTTCGAAATTTATTATGCATGTGTTGAAAATTCATAACCGAAGTCTCGAAATAGTTGTAAGCGTACTTATGTGCGTCAAAGACAATTTTTTTCTTGCAGATAGATTCTGTTGGAGCACCTGTAGGATCACATGTGAATGTGATTTTTTATTGCCTTGGAGACGTAATGCAAAAGTCGAACAGCACGGAAACACTCGTTGGAAATGTGCTAAGTTTCGAAAAACCAGTAGAATGGAATAAATGTAACGTGATAATGGTAGAGGTACGTTTGTATTGTATTAGAATTATATAAAAACATGTAGGGATAAAAGGGAAAGAAAACCAAGCTAGGAAGTGCTTTGACATAGGGAGTTACAGGATGGAATTAATCTCATTTTATTTTGGAGGGCCCTAATTTTACAGTGAATTTATCTTGAAGAAAATTCTTTTGATTTGGACATTGGCCACCGAGAACTAACTAAATTATTGGATGTAGTTATTCTATTCTTACTCCCACGGACATCTGCTATACATCTCCTTTCTCAGGCAAATAACAATAGTTGCTATTCTCACGGGAACGGTGTGAGTGCCCCAAAAAGGGGACGGAGACAAAGCTTTCAGGGAATGCTCAATAACAACCTAATTGACCTTGTGGTTACTAAAAATAGCGAAGTGCACATAAATTCAAAAAAAGACTATGTTCGCACTGTGATACGGTCAGGATATAACAAAAAAGATTAGGCTTTTCCATCTACAGCATAGAGATGACTACGAGTTGAGATCTTACAAGGAGAAGTTTCCAAGTCAGCTCGGCCAATCCGAATGATACATATATCAGCGTAACGGGCTTGAAACGCTGATTCCAAATCTGCTTTCCTTTTCTGCAGAACAGCTCTCCGAAAGAAGTTATGAGTGTTTGAAAGTCTAAATTTGCGGAGATATAAGTGGCATAAAATTGGGAAAGCTGTACAATAACACGTGAAAGTGGGTTATCAGTTTTGTAACAACTATACTGACTACAAGGACGGAATACAGCGAGTGGAGGTCGGCTAGGTATTGCTTTAGAGCTTTTAGCTAATTTTATGCCACTTCATACATGACAAATTTAGACTTTCAATAGCTCATAACTTCTTTCGGAGAGTTGTTCCGCAGAAAAGGAAAGCAGATTTGGAATCAGCGTTTCAAGTCCGTTACGGTGATATATGACTTCTATTCTACAGATTGGCCGAGCTGACTTGGGAACTCTTCCTTATTAGTAGAGTAACAACAACAAGACCCTAACTAAGCTATCACCCGCAAAGCGACTGCATAATGTCCTTCTGGAAAGATGAAATTGCTTCAGACACAACATTCTGCAGTCGAACTTTTCAATTTTGCTCTTCATCGAAGACCGAGAAGGATGTCTTGAAGCCTGGCAATAGTAGGGCATCTCCTTACTCATCTTACGCCTCTACCATTGGCTACTGCCAGTCTCGACACGCTTCCCTTGGGTGAAAACATGTTCTAAATTGCATGCGATTGAACACGACCTTGTGGAATGATATTTTTGCTTTGAGGCATTCGCACTTGCACAATAGCTCTAGTTAGGCGGCATGTCATTGCGATCTATTTGGAGTTGTACTCTACCCAAGTTTACCAGCTCGCAACTAAGGCAATTTTGAGGATATAGTCACCTTTGTTGGTTGCTTGGATTTGTCCTATTATTAAGGAAACCACATCAAAATCTGTGAATATCCACATAGCTAGAAATGTCTGTTAGAATGCATTATCAAATGTAAAGACGTGGAAAACTAAGACCAAGATGTAGTTCAAGAAAGTTGTAAAAGGTTTTAAGTTTTTGAGTTCTTGGTCAAGAGTATGGTAACTAACCTTAAAGAGCATGTTAAGGATTTGCTAATAGACTTATATCTTATGAATAGAACTGCATGTTTCTAAAGATGCTAATTCAAGTTGCTTAAAAACGCTCACAGGATGGGATTAGTGCTAATTTAAGACAAATTGCGTTGTAAAATTTCCGAATTTATCATCAGATCTTTTTTCTATGCTCTAGAATAAATTGAGAGGGATAGAATTAATGTGGGCATTCGTCACTTTTAGAGATTTCCTGTCTTATTAATTATTTATAGTTTTGCAAGGTATGTAATCATCCAACGTAATGTCTTTAGGGTTTTCATCTGATATCTTGGGAAAGAGTCAAGTAGCATCACTTTACATGATAGGGTAAAAAGTTAATTACTGCCTAACAGCTCATAGGGTACTCCTCAAGTCTTATTTTCGTATACTGAGTAGCAACAAAACGGAACAAGATATTTTTTGTTTTTTCTTGTTATTGACTAAAAATAGTAAGTTTTTGAAAAATGTTTGAAAAACATTTCTAGCATAATCTTTTGTACATTTTCTGAGGTTTTATCCTTAAAAAAATAAAATGGTTATACAAAAAAAATTTGCGGATCATAACTATCCATAGCGATATCCAATTACGAATATTTTAGCTTAAAACAATAGGTTATATCTACCAGAAGTGACTGGAATCTGTTGATCTGTATGGTTAACGACCAGAATTTGAAGAGGAGTACAATATGAGTGTTCCTTTTTTAATAAATTCTACAAGCCTGACGTCCAATTTTCATTTTCATTCCAGTACCAGCAGGAGGAGCACAATGTCCTCTTTAAAGCTAGATTGAGTGGAAATATTTATTGGCAATGCATTATAACTTTCTGAAAATTTTAAAATTCTTAAAAAATTTAGTGTGGGATTTATGGGTACCTGATTTGTAACCTATGTTTGATGTTATTCTTGAATAAGGGAATAAGTTTTAGGCAACCAGGCAAATTGGAACAACAAAGACGCGAAAGAAGACGTTAATGCTTCCGATGGTAGCAGATCAGTCAGCTCTAGAACCATCGTGGATTGGAATCGAATCACTCCGAGCTGCTTACTACGTCGGTGAAAGTCTGAATGTATCCGTGCAAGGAGGCGTGGCACCGCGTTCGTTGAATTATGTGGTGCGTGCAACTCTAATGTTTTATTTTGTTTACAACCACGCAATATTGGCCAATTCCGAAGAAATGGAGGTTTTCTTTATGAACGCAAGAATTTCTTGGATAGAATATGATGCAAAAAACCTCAAGCACAGATTCGATCTCAGCTGCCATGGTCATGAGTGCAATTATTATAAATCTAATCACCTGCCGCTTAGACATATGCTGCAGACCGGAACTTGATATGTAAATTCAATAGTCTGATACAGCAGCTACGAGATTTTCAGGAACAAGTTTTTCCATATTTTTTTTTAGAGAGTCTAGGATTTCCTTAGTGCGTAAGCCTTTAGTGAAGTGCGACGAACGAAAATCAAAGCACAATAATTTTTTATATGGCTTGCGTTCTTCATGAGGTTTATATGTGCAAGGCACAGGAAGAAGTGTTTATGAAAGGTAGTGGAGATTTTTGTGACTTAGAGTACTAGGCTGGAGAAAGAGTAAAATAGCGACCTTTGACGATTGGTAGTGGTTGAGTGCTCAAAGGCACTGTCTCACCAAAATTGGGGTAATGCGGATCTCCACACATTCTGCTATGTGGCCACCTAGATGAGCCACTGCAACAAGTCCAATTCGATTTGGCCCCCCTCTACCCTGAGAAAAATTTGCTCAAAGTGGCACGCGGGGAGCGATTTGGTACGCGCGGGTGACTTCGGTCTTTTACCTTACGCGGTTTAACATGTCCCTCCACTTGGTATCCATCTCCATTGTGTTGCTGCCACTGTGGCGGAAACTGAAGTTAGAAACCACAACTCGTTCAGCTGCTCTCGTGGGGCCTACAAAACGGGCTTTTTGGGAACTGGTGCCGTTTCAAGTCCCTATAGTGCTAGACAGGGTCCGATAGACTAGTAAAATGCAAAAAAAAAACTCGATAACCAAACTTTGGTGGGACACTTTCTATGAGTGCTAATTGAGACATGGGGTATACCACTCGACAGAGAAGGAGACACTACAATATGGTGTCAGGCTCGTAGTGCTGTTCATAATTGTACGAACACCCCTTATTTTGGAAGTTTCGGGACTTTTTGGAAGAAATTCAAGAAAGCGTCTGTAACGCGTAAAAGAGCATAGCCGAAAACGGTATACGGGCGCACGAATGAAAGTCGGTTTCAAACTAAGGAATGTTTTGGCGCCGAATGCAGATCTTTAGCAGTTCATAATTATGCGAACACCTCAGACGAGGCTCGTTTTTTTATTTGAAACTGCAATCCAAGTCAAAAAATTTTTTGAAGTTATATTAGCAAAGTCTGAGATATCTGCTACACACAGATACAACCCAACGCAGTCAGATAAGAGTGGCGTCACTCTTCTCAGATGGCTTAAAATACTTTGGAGTCACTGCGCTCGAAAAACGTCTGCTTTTTCTGTGGTAAAGCACTCTAATTAGCTTCTACCAATCTATGAGATAATTGAACTTTTTCAGTAGTTAACTTGTTTGACGCTTAGAAATTTCTCGCGTTTTCGTCGCGTTTTTCGAGCAAGTTCCGACCATAATTACCCTAGACTTAGGTAATTTCGAGCCTCAAAACTCAGCTGAAGTCTTACAATGAAGTGAAGTACATAAGTACTTCTAGATACATAAGTATGTAGAAGTTTTTGAGATTATGTACCTAATTAGAGAATATCAGCAGCGTTGAGCCTTTATCTCGGCCACGCAGGCGTCGTTCCACCAAAATCACTATGTTTACTGTTGTAATTACACATATGCTTGAATTTTTGCTCCATGGCCCCATTGGTTAAGAAAAAAGCCCAAAAACTTTAGGATACATCAACATGCAAGCAATGCTGCTACTTCATCGCAATTCTTTGCGTGAAACCGAAGCTGAGTTTTGAGGCTCGAAATCGAGCTAACTCTAGGGAAAGTTTGGAATTTGGTTGAAAAATGGACGTAAACACAGGGATTTTTTAAGCCTCAAACGAATTATCTATCAAAGGAGCTTGATTTATCTCATAGCCTTGTTAGAAGCCAATTAAAGCGCTTGAATTATAGAAAAACAAAGTTTAAGAGCGCAGCGGCTGCAAAGCATGTTGAGCCATATGAGAAGAGCAACACAAAGTGGCCATATGGGAAGTTTATCTAAGAGATTTTTATGAGTACGTAGCCTTCGGAACGCAAATCTCGATTCTATGCTCTTTATCTGCAAAGCTTTCCTTTGAAAAGAGTCACGAGCCTTCTTGTCCCTGAAAAACGGCCTTTTCTATACCACATTAGAAGCTATTCCAGCGGTGGCTCTTTGATATAGCTAAAATTCATCCATAAGCAATAAGCTAGGGTTGGAATCCTAGTGCCGGCAACTTTTTTTGAATTTTCTCATTCGTCTTTGCTTTGGATAAGCCGTATGTTAACAGAATATAATGAATTTCGAGACAGCTGATCATTTTCTCTATCAAGTACATATTCTTCATTTGTTTGGCAATTGGAGAATTTCAAAATAAATTAGTCCATGCAACAATTGCACATTAGATTCTACATATATGGCCTATTTGAGCAGTAGCTCAATTGAAAGAAATCAAAAACGGTGCTGGCAACAAAAATCAAATGTTAGTATGTTGCCTGTGAGACTAAGCCGCTTACCACAATACCTAGAAGCCACTTTTGGAACAGAATCTTGTTAAGAAAATGACTCATAATTCCTCGAAACGTTTTGCTGATAGGGATCGGAGTGTGCGATATACCCGATATGGACATCTCGACCAAGTATTCTCCCCTGCTGTGTACTTCCTCAGCTCTTTTTAGGAGAGGGTTCTACACTATATAAAATGCGAATTTGAGAAGCAATCAAATAACTAGTTTTGGCCAACCCCGCCTCATCGAACTTGGTCCCCGCCCACACCTCTGCTCGCTATGCGCTCACAGAAGCGACGTAATCGTAATTTTTGGAGTTAATATCGGCAGAAAAATGTCAGAGAATTTTCTTGCAACCTAATAACTGTTGAGGTGTAGTTCGTTTTCTCAGCTAAAAGCAGAGTTATTACTTTCGGCTTTTGCTCATATGAGCTTTTCATCCTTCCGCATAGTTTTCTTTCTAAATTTTGCTTCGCGTATGCTTATTGCATTGGTGACGATTGGAGATGCCTGTAAAGAAAGCAGTGCTGACTACAGTGAACCAAAATATTCTGCAATTTTATTCTTGCACGCTCTCTAGATATAATAAAATGGGATGAATCGTCAAGTTTCTCGGAGGATCATAACGGTAGCTTAGTGCAGAATGTTTAAGAAGGGTGTACTAGGTTGTTCCGAAAGTTCTGTCCGATTTCTAGTTGCCTTGTTTTAACGCAGCTAGTTTTTTGGAGTTTTGTACTTGTTACAGAAATATGATTATTATCTGAAACTACTTTTCTTGCTCTTTCCAATGCTCACTATGCTTGACAAAACATCTTCTCAGTGATAAGAGTCCAAGCCCCGAAGCCAAACTCCAAAATGCAGTCAGGCTCAAGAGAAAGTTATGAAGAGAATTCCCGCAGTATTAGTGAAATAAAATATGCAGTATTTTATAATGGGTCAGGGTGTAATGGGCTAACATGTGCACATTTTACCTCCAACAAAGCAAACGTCTTTTTCAATTTTTTCTCAAAGGTGGAAGACAAACTCAGTCATTCAAAAAGTAATAACAATTTACGTACAGCGAATGAAGGTTCACTCAATAATGCATATGAAAGGGTAAAGGGAGAGCAAGCGGGGGCCGTCGGCCAGTTCGCTTTCTTCGATCACGACAGCAAGAAAAAATTAAATATTAGAAAGTCGACCTATTTGCGCGCGCGGAGGAGGGCTCAAATAATGGATTTTTTTTATTTGCTCGTAAAAATTTTTGTGCAGCAAAAGAAGCTCGAATTCGCTTTAGCAGTAAATGAATCTCTGAAATATAGGGTACTTAATGGTGGCAGCCAAGTATGTCTGCGTATCCTTAGGCAAGGGACATACCTCACGCGATTTCAGTCGCCACGCGATCTGGCAATTTGCCATATGTCTTCAAATTTAATACTGGAAGACCTCAAATGCACAGCATGTATAACTTTCGTAGGTTGATAAAATGCCCCCTCTTCCGTACATTCAGAACCACGTAGGATGAGTTATGAACATTTGGAGTATTGCCAAATCGCGTGGCGACTGAAATCGCGTGAGGTATGCCCGAGGCCTTATGTGGAGGCATTAGTACGTCAAAGTCGGAGATTTTGAAGGAAACTCTGCAAAATCCCCCAAATTTTCCCTTCTCTCTCGCTTGCTTTGTTTATATGATATCCTGTGCTTTTGATAGATATAACCATGCTTAATTTAACAAATTTAATTTGTGCAGAAATGTTGCTTTTGAAGAGAGCTATAACATTTTTAATCGGAAATCTGCGGATCGGACAGAACTTTCGGAACAGCCTATTATGTACGCGTCCCAAAAAACCGGTAAATGGCTGTATTATCGTCTACCGTCTTGTTACAGTGACCTTCGCAGAACTTAGTTTCATTTTTTGAAAATCTGATTGCTAGGTTAACAGTATGGATCAAACCACCGAATATTGAAAGATCACGATGAAAATCTTCAGCATTCCTTCCATAACATATAAAAACCATGTGTGTTTTTCTTCATTAGTGCGAATAAGCTGTTTGCGTATGATTTTGACTCATTCAGACAACTTTAGAAGGAGTGTGGGGGGGGGGGGATCTTATAAGCGATCGAGGTAATTTTTATGACAAAAAGTGATCTATAAATACAACTACTCGCTCTGACGCACATTAGCAAACACAACAAAGCTAACTTTTTAGGCTATTGGTGATCTATTCCTATCTCAGCGACGAAGTTATCAAATAATATCCTACAATGGGAATCTTACTTTTCTTAAGTCTCAAATATGCAAAAGGTTGCTGCACTGGGTATCCTGGTTCTTTGCTCCTTCAATCATTCATCGGCACTTTATACTTATCCGACCCATTTTTTTCAACAAGAAAAGGGAATTGCTTTTCTTTTACCATATTTATTCCCTACTGGTCTGTATCAATGTGAATATCATCATGTTTGAGGTGGACTTACTACGAATCAAGCGGCATCGAGGTTTACGCCATTTTTTGTATCTTTATCTAGTGAATCAATGGCGAGTATAAAGAGAAAGAAAGAAATCTCAGTCAACAAATTGGAGTGTTTGGCTTTTATAAGAAGTCAGCTGAATAGCTTTTACGTCATTTCCAATGCTTTCGTTTCTTACCGGAAATGATCTTGAAGTTACAGTCAAATAAATCAAAACGCGATGAGTTTTTTACAAGTTGCATTACAGTCCTCGTAGATTCTACAGGGTGCGGCAAAAGTCTGGGAGCCTAGTACTTTTTCGTACAAAACGAGAAGAGAATTACCTAGAAGTGAGATATTTAGCGCACACATAATTCGAACCATTGCAGATACAACCCAGTTCTTGAATTGCAAAACTGCCTCTTTTGGCTTCCACGCAGCCCTATAAAATCTTGGCAAGTCCACCTGTCATGGCACGCAGGCAGTCGTAATGGAATTCGCCCCTCGCCTTCACAATAACTGCTTCTTTTACCTTGGCAAATGTGCAGCACGATAGAGCAAGCTTTTATCTACAACATGCTTCCAAAAGAATTTTTTGCATTGCTAGAAATAAAAATATTGGATTTTCAATTAGAAGCATGTGTACGTCGCAAACCGGAATTTTGGCTACAATTGCGCGAATAAAAACTTAAAATTATCGTTTAAAAAGTATAAAAAGTGTCCCCATGGCCGAATTTCATAGATTCTAAGTTAGAAGACGTATGCAAAAAATACAGCCTTGATCACAGTGCCTGTTGAGCATTCTATAGCTTTTAAATTTGTTCTAAAGACGGATTTCCACTGGCACGTGGGTAACATTCGCAAACTTTTATTTTCCGTTCATGCAAGAACAGCTCCTGGCAAAAGCAAAACTAGGATACAAAAGCGCAAAGCCTATTCTATGTGTGCATCGAAGTTTTAAAATATTAACAGCATCTCTAGCTACAGCAAAAATTGTAAAGACTAAAAATTCTGGTTTTTTCGCTTTGCAAAAGTATAGTTTGGTAATTTCCATCCTTACAAAAACATATGGCAGCCATTTCCAGCCAAATAAAGTGTATTCTATAGAGGATGACCGCAGCATCATGTGGCATAAAATTGAAATCAAAACCATCAGCATCTTCGTAATTGCAGTACTGCAAAGTTAGGCTCTCAAACTTTTGCCGCACCTTGTGTAATATTTTTTGGACCAAAACACATAGGTATCCTCAAAATGAGTTCGGGTATCGGATAACTACCCAAATACTTATATTTTTCATTTTCCTTTTCATACTCTGACCTATACTCAAGTTAAATCGCCGCAGTGCTTGTATTGAAAAAAAAATCTAACCTGCTGTCCAAGATACTTATGGTATTATCCATTCAGCAGTGCGCAAACATCAAGTCTGACAAGTTTTCGGCAAAGTTCACACCGGACATGCCCCTTTGTTGAAAAAGTCTTTTGCGAAAGTGCAGGTATGCTGTTGGTGTGAGCATATCCGGAAAGTTTGTTTCTTCTTCCAAAACGCAGTCAAGAAAGTTAGAAATCATGGAGCAGGCTCGTTGCAAATGGCTATGGGGAGGATCGTTTTGATCAAGATGCTTTTTGCAAAGTGTTACCGTAATATATTATGGTTGATCCTACCTTCCCATGCTAGGAAACGGAGGTTTATGGATATCCTTCTTGTCACGAATACACTTTGAGGCCAGTCAGGTCATCAAAACATCTTGGCTTTTTTTTACTAAGAATCAGTGGCGTACCTAGGATTTCCGCTCGGGGGAGGGGGGGGGACAAAGATTTTTTCGAGTGAAGGTGCGTGGCGTTAGCCACGCACTCCGAAAAAATTTTAGGGGTGCTTTTCAAAATTTTTGCGGGTCCCCAACTCCTAAAATCTGGAAAAAGGGGGTGTGGCGTCAGCCACTCTCCCGAAAAAATTTTTTTATAAGGCTAATTTAAATTTTTAAAAATTTTTAAAAATTATTTTAATTATTTACAAGTATAAACCAGTCATTTGCACATTTTTATAACCCTTATAAGTAACTTTCAAAAATTTCGCGACCCATTCTCGGGGTGGGGGCGCCCCCCCCCCGCCCCCCCTCGATACGCCACTGCAAAGAATAAAAATGGTATCCATAAACCGATCAAAATTCGAAGTGACACGATAAGGGCTCTACGAGAATCTAAAGTAGAAGATTCCATAGTGGCTCATTCTAAATCTTTTCTATAAGATGATAGAAAATAATGATTGTTAACTTCTGTCTTGATTCTCACTGTTAACAACTGCCTTCAGACTAAGTCGAATTTGCCATTTCCATAGTTCAGATTTCTCCTCCTGCCTGTGAATCATAGTGGTAGTTTTGAACATTATATGCGGCCGTAAATTTGACGGGAACGCTCGCATCCCTTGCAGCAGTTTAGATATCAGGATGGGATACAATTAATGCAGGTTTCGTCAAACTTGGAAACATATAATTGCGTATTAACATATAATTCAGAAAAACGATTTTTTTCTGAAGATCTTTAAAACACGTGGTTTTTGTTAGTTGGAAAAATTTGTTTGGGAAATCCTATACTTTGGAACGAAATTGGCCACTAGGAGTAGATGCATGGGACTACGGTCCTTTAAAAAAAGCTTTCACAAAAACGAGCGTCGATTCTGTCTCAACCGAATACATTCTTTCCTCGTTAGCTTAGTCTAACAAGCTCCGCATGAATAAATCATTTTTTATGCAGTACACATCAAAGGGTGACAAGCAGCCAGAATGAAAATTGGTGATGTTGTGACGCTTTGGCACAAAAACCATGGAAGGATGTGGCACGTTCGACTTTGTTATTCAATGACCTAAGTGCTTTGAATCGGTATGAACTGAGGGTGCGTTCATACCGCGCCTGCAGCCGCCGCTAGCCGCCTTTAGCCGCTTTTGAGCACCATTCCAGTTTCCCACGTCCTTCACAGAAAGTTGAAAGATTATGCTATTTGTAATGAACATGCCGAGTAACCCCACTACACCAAGTTTGAGCAAGATTTGTGCTTTCGATATTGGGATCTAGATAATGAAATAGTGCTCAAAGGCGGCTAGCGGCGGCTGCCGGCGTGGTATGAAGGCAGCCTGAGGGAAGAAAAACAGTTAAGCTTACGAAAGATGAAAAAGTGTCAAGTTTGAATGACAAGCGTCTTTGTATTGACTTGTCGGAAAAGTACAAGTATTCCTGGAATGCATGCTTTGTTTGTTTCGTCAATACAATATGCTTCTTCACTTTGACTTTCTTCACATTGGACCAGTTTCGATTCGAAAAGAAGATTTATTTGGAACGCTTGAGACAAATCCGCGATGTAATATTTGCGTTTTAGGGAGGCTTTGTAGACACTACTCAAATCTATAGATTTTGCTTCGCGGGGCTAATAATTTTGTCCAAACAGACAATTTGGCATTTTACCGGCTTACCATAGCCCACAACTTGCGGCAGTGTGGTAAAGTAATAGATTTGCATTAATGAAAAAAATTCAAAATTTCTTTACTTTTGGTTTAGCGGGGTGTTGGCGGCGAGCGAGTTTCCACAAACTATAACTGTAACTGCATAATGTAACTAAATTGTAATCTTACGTTTGTAAGTCGGAGGTTCAGGCAGGTCGTAGCTGACTCTTTTTGTAATTTTGATTGGCAGGCCAAATAAGCAGTCGCTCAAACCTCAGCTCAAATCATACTTTGGTGCCAAAAAAGCCAACTTTGAGCACCCTTATATATGTGTATGCGGACCCTGATTGGTCCGTTCGAAGAAAGTACGGTAGTACAGGGTGACACGTACTGTACTACGGTATGTACATGGTAAAGGAGTAAATGTTGAAGATAGCTCAGGATGCTTTACGTCTTTTTACTTCATTTGCTTTCACATTGCCATGTTTCAGATAATTATGTAGGTGAATATCCAAAATAACTTGTTACAACGCTTTTTTTTGAAAAAAAAGTGTGACGCAGCTCCAAAATATGGCTGTTTTCCCATTTTTTGCATCAATTTGTAACTTGCAGCATAATGTCCGTTGATTTATAATTATGGCAGCGATAGAGGGGTAGCAAGTGACGCAATTGAGCTGAAGTCAGTAGTTGTCTCCTCTGACAGAGGTTATTTTGAACATTCCCACGGGCGTTTGCTCAAATTGGTTGGAGATCGGCAAATGAAAATCATGAAATGTGCTTTATGTCTTGACCAGCTACTTCTGTTTAAGAGTTTTCGCAACGTACAGCGAACGCTAAGGCAAGTAAACATATTGTTTCAATGTAAAAAAACCATGCATCTTAAACGCAAGTACATGATTGTAAACATCATTCCAAGTGTAAACGTAATATGTGCGGGAGTGACCTTTATTGACGCAGTTTTGAGAACGGAGGAATTTCCAAGGTTGTGTGTGCATTTGAAGAAAGGTTGAAAAATGAGGATAAAGAACTTTTTTATACTGTTTGGAAGAATGAGGATCAAAGAAAGACTGGCTAATCATTGCTGTGCTGTCAGTTATGATCGCTGCTCCAGATTATTAGTCCAGTTTTTATTATAATGGGTTTCCTTTCAGATCCTGTGCAACTTGCACTCTGTCACTGGCACAGGACAAGTAAGGGATGACGGTGTTCTTACAGTAAAGATTACAAGAAAGATGATTGGGACTTGCATTCTGTTCGTGTACGCGTTGGAAATTAAACCTACTACGGATATGTTCCTGTTCAATGTCGTGGATCCATGCCAGGTAAAATCTCCTTCGGAATTTTGTCTGGACTTCACTCATTTATAGCCTAGTTGGTATGTATGCGTGACAGGACAGCTCTTAGTTAGATGCGAAACAATTTGTGACATCGCACATCAATATTGTTTGAGCAATTCTGGTAGACAATTTTTTGTTTGTCAATTTGGTAGTAGACTTGACTTCAGTCGCGATAACGTCGTATAGACCATGAATGAAAACCAGCAAGTGTTTGGCCATAGTATTAGATACATCTTTGCATTAAAAAATAATTCATAAAGCGAAAACATTCCCGGTTTATTTTTTGTAATTTCTTATCTAGATTTCATCTTTCATTGTACCGGGCCGTAGGTTGATAGAACTAATCATATTGCTTCTGAAGAGTCACTGGGATGACCAATAATCAGCTACTAATTATAGCCCTGTAGCAGAATGAAATATTAGGTTTGGTTTCCGGCCAGTTTGACGTTTGATCTAATAGCATAGCTTTTTACAAAGCACATGTATATATGCCATCAATATCCAAAAGCTGACCAAGAAATTGACATTGACTGGAAGAAAATTGCTTGTTTTTGAAACTAATACATTCGTATGTAACTATATGCGTCAGCTGTAAAGAAGGTGTTAGTAAGATAGAAATGAAAAGATGAGAGGGTTTAATGAGTAGTACTTGAAGTTTTACCATAGCTACAAAATGTTTTATCTACATATAGTCTTATTTTAGGTGTCTGCCTTCGTATCTCGTGATTTCATCGAACCAAGAGGCTCATTAAGTTTGACACTTAATGGAGAACCTTATGGGATAGCTATCGTGCGAGCAATGGACGATCGTTTGAATGCTCTGAGACTGGTAAGGAATTCGTGATTAATACCTACGGAGCTAATTTTATACTAGAGGGTGTTCTTGGGACACATTTTCTGAAAAAGAAAACTGTATATGGCTTATGATGTGAACTTCTAGACTAATGACGCAATACGGACAAAATACTGGGATTTTGGCATGTTTCATCCAGATACAAAGAGTAATCAAGCAAGGCTGTTGAATTTCGTAGCGTTAAAACAAGTGAAGAAAGCCATAGGTATGCTCTTTACGATAATTATTACTAACAAGGGAGGTCTTTTCGGTCAAAGTGGCTTTGTCACATGAAAGTGATACGACTATAAAGAGCATCAAACGCTGATTCCAAATCTGTCTTCATTATCTGCCGAGCGCCTCTAGACGTCGAGTTTGAGTATGTTTTGAGTGGAGAAATTGAATGCATAATTAGGACAAAATTCGTCAGAACTGCTCAAATCCAATGTTGATTATCAAAGCCCTTTATCTAAAAAATACCTTCTGTCCAAAGCACTCATACTTAACAATGCTCTATTTGAGCGCTGAAAAGACCGTAAACTATGCGTTCATTTTTCGCACCAAGAATATATTCATAACTCGACATGCAGAAGCGCTCGGCAGGTAGTGAAATCAGATTTGGGATTAGCGTTTGTTGCTCTTCAAAGTGGTATGAAACTAATTAGAAAAGGCCACTTCGACTAATTGAACCTCCCTTGTAAGACTGCGTCCAGAGTTGCCTTTGTGCCGCCGCTGTGTCAAAGACGTTCCAGCGCCGTGCCTGTTGGTTGATCGACATACTGGCACGGTGACAGCACCGCTTTGGCACGGTGCAACGCTGACCTACTCATCATTTGGAATGTTTCCTGACTTATTGTGTGATACGTTCAGATCGAAGTTGCTCTTTGGCTGCAAGCCCTTATCTGCAGCAATTTGGCAAATGTCCAGATGCAAAAGCTACTTTAACAGTGCTGTCGAATATTTGCCTCAAAATGATGGTACTCAAATGTATGCCTGAGCCGCAAGCAGGTTTGTTGTTTGTTTACAGATCATTTCAATAAAATCCTGTACAAATAAAGCTTCGTATCTTTCTCCATTACCAACGTATGGGTGGAGGAACGAACACCTCAATTAGGCACCTCCTCCGCGGACCACTGGTCCCAACACGATGCACAACGCAGGACGAAAGGACCAGCAGCCCGCGGAGGCGATGCCTAATTGAGGCGTTCGTTCCTCTACCCCCAAAGTATGGGTAGGCCGCAAATCGATTCACTTATGCTTGGGATAATAATATTAGATTACAATAAAATTTGGTTTTTGGCCTCACGAAAATCTCAATCACAGCGCAGGGAAGTTATTAGAAGAACTTAACTGAACCTTTTAATGCGCTAGTTTTAGTAATGGATTATGACCAAACTTAGAGCCACATTCAATAATTCGCTCTGCTTTACAAAAAAAAAGGGTTTTTCAAAGACCTTTATTTTCGAAGGAACAGTAAAAAAAATATTGTTCAAAAAAAAAAACAGGAGACGTTGTGAGTTTTGAAGACTTGGGTCTAACCAATGCTTAGTATTGTATTCGATTATTATATAGTATTATTATATCGTCCCAAAAGTTGCGCCAAGTTTTCTATCGTTTACTAAAAATTACAGAACTATGGCCGGAGAGCGAAGGGGCTTCAGGACAATAACCTCCCCCTCCCCCCACCTGACAATTGTTCTAGAACAGTTTATCTCATGCAAAATAGTCAAGTTGGGAGCGCGCTGGAATATCATCTAGAATTTTCAGTGCCTCACGCTTTGCATGCACCAAAAGAGCGGAGGTTTTTCTTGAAGGCAGCGTCCAGGCAGATTTGGACCTATGGGGATTTTACGTGGAAAGTACTTTTTGGGCCCCAACTAAGGCACTGCCCATGCGGCAGCGCAGGTAGGTATCTCTCTAACGGCTGAGATATCCCCCTCGAAACTGGACCCCGCGATAGTATTCGCATGGATGCATGGCAGTTTCGCGCCGGATCCACGCTTTGCGCCATGAATCCATGCGAAATACGTTCGCGGGGTCCAGTTTCGAGGGGAATATCTCAGTTGTTAGAGCACTACCTGTGCTGCCGGTTGGGCAGTGGCTTAGTGAGGGCCCCAAATTACCATTCACGTGAGATCCCCATGTGTCCAGACTTGCCTGGACGCTGTCTTCAAACAAATGGAAAATTTAAAAATTGATGTAACAGTCTAAAACAACTAGTATAAAGTAGGAGGTGCACTCATCTGTGGCTGCCATATTCGCCTCTCTGAGAGACTAAAATAAGATTTGGAGAAATTACAGACGTTCGGTGGTACTGCAAGATTTTTCGGATGCGATGGAATACTTTGGCAAAAGATTATGAATTAGAAAGTAAACGTGAACACCAGGGATATTTATCAATCTCCCACTCGCTGTGCGGGCCATTATTAACGAGAGCCCGCACAGAAGAGAGCGCCCTTCCCATTCATGAAAGTCTGAGAAGCGCGGCCCAAACGGGCAGCGGCGCCCGACTCGTCGAGATGGGGAACTGCTGCCCGACTGCCGTGCCCGACTGGCGTGCCCGACTGGCGTGCCCGACATGGCCAAACTTGCCAGATCGGACCATATTCTTCAATAGACAGAAGCCCGGTCATCAGCTTGGCTTCATATATAGCGGGCGCCAATGCCCGCGCCTGCACGGGCTGTAACCTGTAGGGGAACCCCTTACTATGCAAGAGATTGATAAATACCCCCCTTGTAGGGGAACTTCTACTATACAAGAGATTGATAAATACCGCCCCAGAAAGAAGAGAAAAAGCTGAATCAATTGATGCGGAAGGGGTCCTCGTTGGTTACGTGAAATTTGATGACTAGTCAAGGAAAGCGGAAAAACTTTTGTGGCAAGCTAATATAATCTTGAGAATTCTAAAATCGCGCGTTTTCAATGTTCGGTCTAGAAGTTTTGTTTAAAATTTTTTGGCATTTTATGAGTACAGCAGTACAAAGGTTCACAATGCTGTGGTGGTACCTTACTCACATTGGAGCCTTCAGGTTCATCCGAGTGAAAAAAAAGTACTCTTTCCTGTTAGGGACTTTTGAAAAAGTAGAAAAAAAAGCTAATGCTGTGCGTAGCCGGTTCATGATTGGTCAAATCAGTGAATTGACCAGTCATGAAAAGGCTAACATAAGTCTGGCGGCAAAGAAACCAATTTCCAAAATTTCAGTTGTAGTTTCAACGGCTTGCGATGCGAAAAATCCGCGAGACTGCGTGTATCCGTTGATGCAAGGAAAGCCAATGCTTGGTCGTCTTCTCTCTCTCGAGGCTGCACAAGCTCCTGATGACACGTCAGTGAATATGTTCAGGTACGTTTCAATCACTATTATTCTTGGTTTAGTGCGATGCATATACTTTTTAGCGATACTTTGAGAGTGGATGACGACGATGGATCAGGCGTTCGTGAGCGTTTTCATGAAGTGTGGCTTTTCGACGCTATACCTCTTACGTAAGTTTTCTGTAATTAGCAGAAATCCATAAAGAAATAGATGAAACTTGCTTTTTTCTTCACTTACGCTCCCATTTGTCCTTTCAGAGCGTCTGGCACAGCGTCAAAGACCTTGAAAGCGCCGGATACTGTAGGCACATGGAGCGTGTCGTCAGCTTTTTGGTCACCAGGACAAAGAGATCTTTGTGCTGCTAAAAATCTTGAGATAATATCAAAAAAGGATGTGTTTCTGGAGGTTTGTGACTGCAAAGCTGATTTGATGCTGGCTAATTTATGCTTTTCTCAAGGTCGATCTACCAAAGTCGGTGTTTGTGAACGAAACAGTGACAGCTAAAGTCACCGTTGTAGCATTGAATAATGAACGAGAAACAACGGTGAGTATAATATTTTTGTAAGTTGGCATATCGAGGCTATCTGAAAAAATCTCTTTTTATGAAACGTGGCTCCCACCACGACCTCTGAAAATCATTTGAAAATCTTTTCGAGTTCTTTGCTTGCAAGCAGGTTTTGGAGAATTTTTTGGCTTTTGGAAAATTCACAGATATCGGCTTTTTTGGATAAACGTCAACCGCGGCCTCCGCAAATTTTTTTATGAAGCTTCTCAAGTATTCTGCAAGTTTGTGAGCAGGTTTTAAGGGACATTTTGGCATTAGCCATGCTGTTCAAGAAATATAAGGGAAACTTATAAAATTTTTTGAAGGACTGCTTTGGATTTAGCGTCAACCATGTATTCGAAATTTATTTCACTTTCAAATATTTTTTGCAAGCTCAAAGCTTTTGAGAAGCTTTTTTGTCTTAAATGACCTTCGGCAAATTATTTGTGGACTTTGGAATCTTTTCGAAAAAGGTCTGCTCTAGAGCGTTTTTTTTTTGGTGTCGGTCGCGCCACCAAAAAATTTCTTTTTGCCAAGCTAATCTGATTTCAACAAAAATGAATTTCTATTACTCGCATACTTTCGTAACTTGTCTGAATCATTTCTAAAATTTTCTTTTTTGTACAGTACTCAGTCTGCTTATCTGACATGTCGAGAAAAATCTGTGCTGATCTTGGATCGTTCGGACAACTCGGACAACCAAGCTATTCTCGTGTGGTAGTCTCACCTGATCATCCAATTGATACGAAAACATTTTCGTTGAGATTTCTCTCCACTGGATCAGCAAAAGTGACTTTTCAATTGAGAGAGTAAGTTTCACTTTTGAAGAAACCTTTGCAACATTCAAAGTCTTATTCAGAGAAACTTCATATCCTGGAAAGCATCACTGTGATATTGGCCATATATATGACTCGGTTCGGTTAAACGTTTTTATAGCAGTGAGTTTGTAAAATTTACGTCTTTTCGAACTTCGGTGATTAATTCTTCATAGAAACGTGATGAAACCGAGGAATTATATAAGATGCTCATACTTGATGCAAACAAACCTTTGACTGATATCACAACAAACAGTGCAGTGGAGGAAATTACAACTTCTAGAGATGTTTTTCGTATGTTTATCCAAGACTGCCATTAAAAAAATCAAATGCAAATCTTCTTCTGCAGATGTAACAGAGCGTCGATCGCCAAAAGATGGCGATGTGATGATTACTGATGTTTTTGCGAATATACCCGATTCTGACGCCGTCTATAGTTTCAATATTGATGTCTCTAGTGAGTTTCAAAGGATTTCTACGCGAATGTATCAAGTTGAACCAGAGTTCTGTACGTTTTTTTTATTTGTAGCTTATCGAAATCGTTACGGATTTGCTCGCTACTAAGTTTAATAGAGAGCAAAAACCATGTTTGCACAAAATCTAGGCGACGTTTTGCCAAGCATCGACTATAGAATTAGGAAGAAGACCATTCAAGCTTTGATCGTTTTGAATTTATTAGCCAAAAATCCGAAACATTGCAAAGTACTCTGGAACTGTCACTGCCATTTTTCATGTCCTGGGCTTTCAAATCAAGAAGAGTTTAAGCTAATTGGGTGTCTATACGAGAGTTTATAATATTTGAGAGTAGCAGTAAAAATTATCAGAATTAATTTAGCCAGATTCTTTTTTAAAGATTTCAGCTTTTCGTAGAGATGTCCTATTGGCACAAATTTTCAGTTTTTTTTTTGGATTTTTTTGCAACCTTGTACATTTTTGGGAACCTAACTCAGAATCACCTAAGCTTAATGGTCCCATTCTTTCATTATTACTCTGCAATCAGTGCTTATTATAAAGCTTCTAATAGGTGACTGCAGACAACATGGTTTTTCTTACTAACAAGACTATTATCATGCAAATCCGCTGAAATAGCAAAAAGCCGCGAATTTTTTCAAAAACAAGACGACATAACTTTTGGTCTAACCGAATATTTGCAGTCTGCTATGCATTTGCTCTATATCAAAAAATACTTCTGTTGGTTCTGTAATTTTACTGCGAACTCGGGCAGTTTTGAATCATGTTGAAAATAGAGAAAAACGTTGTGTCGACGAAATTTCGCATAAACAATCTTCCCAACGTTTTTTTCCAGAATTTCTTCCACTGGATACTCCTGAGATAAAAGTTCGACGAACTCGTCGCAGCATTGAATCGAACCATGCCTTCCTTTCTGACATCCTCAAACGGCTCTCTGTAGAGCTTTACCAGTTCAAGAGAATCAGAATGCTACAAAACACTGATGCCTCAACCTTGGAAATGGCTGAGAATAGGATTGGGTCGTGTTGGTAAACTTTTTTCGTCTTTTTTCTCTCGTAAGTTCAGCATTGTTGCAAAAAAGTTAATGATTTAGTGATATCGGATATGTTGCGATTTTCGGATTGTCGAAATGAGACGGCCTGTGGTTATGCGGAATTCATGATGCCAAGAAGTCCAGAGGAACGGTCGATCGCGTAGGTTTTTTTTACAGAGTTTTCGTAAAATTCTCAAGAAAGTTTTATATTTTAGTCTAACAGCCATTGCCACATCGCTACTCTGCGAATCCACATCGGATAGTCGTCTTGTTTGTGGTGGAATACAGTTTCTAATACAGTCATTTATGAAAGAATGGCAACAAGAGTTCTACGATTTAAGCGATCTAGTTGCCTTGGTGAGTTTTCGAGATTACTGTAGTGGTACTGTATCGATCTCGGAACAGTTTTTTGTGGCTCTGTATATAACGGCGATGTTCTTGCAATTCTGGATACTCGAACCTTTTACGTAAATGGTGATTATAAGGTCCTTGCTGATGTGTCGCCATAGTGGTGGCCCATACGCTTCCAGGGTCGATAAATTTGAATCTAAACGTCAGCCCAAATTGTAATCTTTCCGCGCGGACCAATTAGTCTCCCGAAAAGAGTACGGTTTGGGTTGCAGTTCCGAACCGAATTTCGTGGCGGCAATTAAATCACATGAGCTGCCATTTGAGCAGTGCCTTGGCTAAGACTTCTCAATCGTTGTTCACACAAAAAACCCTCAAATACTTACATTTGCCTTGACACTACCTTCAGTTTGCACAGTTCAGGGTCACCCTATTGACAGAGAATGGTTTTTGAAAGCAATTCTACTGCAAGTATCTCGTGACTGCGCTGCATACCACTGTGTTGTGAGTTTATCTCTTTAAAAAAAAGATAATTTTTCTAAAAGCAAACCTCAGAAAGATGATGACGCTTGGTTCAAATTGCTGTATTCTTTCTATTCTATTGATGAGAATTGGAAATGGGATGTACGTTCAATCGCAGCTCTGGCTTATATGGGAACGAATGCGACCAGTGAAGTGATGAGAATCAGGATGGCTGGACTGGCAAATCGTATTGCTTCATATAATTTTTGTGACCTCAATTGCAAAGACATCATCTAGGTCACATCTTACCTTTCTGGAATGCTGGTACTCGATTATTTTCGAAAACGAAGATGAGCAATTTTGAAGAGTCCAGTATAGTGAGAAAAATGAAGGTGAGAAGGCCCACAATTTGGCATAAATTTTACGACTTGACTATAACGAAATGTTTTCGAGCCGCTAATTTCAAATGTTTATAAAGAATGCCGTTAAACTTTGTTTTATTTTTATTTTTATTTTTATTTTTATTGGCGCCTCTTTGAGTGCAGAATAGATAAGTGAATCGTTTTTTTATTCTAGAGTGGTGATATATTGGTCAACTCGCTTGGAATACTGGCATTTGTCTCCCCAGGAGCAGAAGGTCGAGATGTCGATTGGGATCCACTTGCAAGTTGGCTTTATGAGCAACAATCACAAGATGGGACCTATGATAATGTTATCGTAAGTAAAGGCTTTCATTTACTATAAAGAAAGCAATGATCTGTGTCTTTCTTCTAGGATACGTATTTTGCATCACGTGCTTTGTTTGAGTATCACTTTCGTAAAATTGACATCAGTAGCAAAGGAGCGGTTACCGTATCCGTGCACTGCCCTACATGTGAACCACGTACAGTGAATGTAACTGAAGCGGCGACGCAGATCTATGTGAGTAAAGCGCTGATTTCTCAATTTTTATTCAAATATTTCTCGTGCTATAGATTTACATTCTTTTCTGTTTGTTTAGTGTGTCTTTTTTTGTTACTATTTCAATACAACATACAGGGTGTCCCAAAAAAATGTATCAAACATTTGATTTCCAATAACTTTTCTATATGGAAAGGTTTCGCCAATCTTTGAGTGTCATACGGTAGAGCTGGGTTCAACATAGATTTACAGTATAGAGCGAATCACCGATTCCTCTTAGTTAATGTAGGATTACGGTAGGAATTTGGTGATTTCAAGCTTCTGACAGGCGAGAACTGCTTCTAAAAAATTCCAAAAAAAAACGAAGGACGTTAAAGTGAAATTTTCGAGGATGCTGAATCTATTTACACAATTTTCCGCTACCATACTCCTCATCTTCCTCGTTATGCGCACTTCAACGCTAGATTTTTTCCTTTTTTTCCAAAATTTACTAAATCAACGTTGCAATTACGAATACGTCGTCAAAAGCTTTCGCGTTAGCCAAATCGTTACTGTGCGCATACCGTAGGAAGATGGGGAGTACGGTATCGGAAAACTTCGTAATTAGATTAGCATCCTCGAAAACCTTAGTTCAACTTCCTTCGGTTTTTTGGAATTTTTTAGAAGCAGTTCTTGCCTGTCGCAAGCGTAAAATTAATTGAAATTTTCTACCGTAGTCCTGCAGTAACCAAGAGAAATCGGTGATTCGCTCCATACTATTAATCTATGTTGAACCCAGCTCTACCGTATGACACTCAAGGACCCGCGAAAGCTTTCCATTTAGGGGAGTTATCAAAGATCAAACGTTCAATACATTTTTTTGGGACACCCTGTATTCTGAGAGCAACAAAATATATCTTACAGTTAGCTTACTTTTCATGATGTCGTTGAGGGGGAGAGGGGGGGGGTCAAGGTTGTGATTTTCGAAATTGATCCACATGAGTTCTAAAATTATACTGGAAACTTGTTTCTTGTTTGTAAATAATCCATGTTTCTCAGGTTACATAGGAATTGACTGATGTTTTTAGAGAAAATTTGTCGGGGCATGTTCCACGTTTTTGCGAAAAATTATTGAGAAGGGTGATCAAGACCACAATTTGAAAACTTGTCGTGCTTCCCTTCCAAAGAAATTTGAAGGGGTGGCACTGCCATGTAACGATTTTTGTGAGCACCGCACTTTGGATAATCTTGACTAATCTATGCTGAGAAGTTCTAAAATGATAATTTTGTGATTGCAGCTACCCACACATGTCCGAAATGTAACTGTGGAAACTAAAGGACATGGAAAAGCAAAGTTAGACATGCGATTAGTCGCGAAAAAACGGCAACGCTCAAGACGAGGTCTAACACAAGATGACTACCACCCAGTGCGATTAAATGTACATCAAGAGCGAATCCGCAAAGGAACGATTCGTCAGACTGTATGCTTACGGTAGGAGATTCAGTCTGCATTTGCAGATTAGTTGGTCGTTTCGATCAGCCATGATTATCGCAATTTCAGGGTCCTTTCACCTCTGATAAAAGTTATCGAAATTACTCATGGACTGTACACGGGTTATTCAGCAACACCTAACAGTGTTGCTTTGTTAGCAGTAAGTAGTTTATCTCTCCCCAAATAAAAATTGCCAGAACCTTTCTCACAATCAGAATCTTTCGAAATAAATAACAAAGCAATTTTTTAGAACTCGTCATCACTTTCATTCAATTCGCCTGTCTCAGTTTCTTCATTTGCTGCTCATTTTGTTCTAAGTGGTTTTAAACATAACGAAATACTTTGTTACGTGATCGGAGTTACTGAACCTCAACACAGTCACGAACCGCTGCACTTAGCTCCAGTCGCTATTACTGCCCGGCATCCTGTTGAAGGTAATTGTCACAGAGCTGCATATCTTGACTATTTTTTTGGATTTTTCCTTGTTTTCAGGCGTCATAGGGCTCGTGCTAATCTCCCATCCCGATCAAGACACTACTAAACGTAGAAATAGACGACATATGAGAGGACAGTCAGAGGTGTCTCACGGCACAATATTCCACAGAATTCCACGAGCTATTGTAGACGAGTCTATCGATACAGTTTGCTTCGATGGCGGTAGGTTTTGTAGACAGTTTCTGGTCAGAATGGCAGAAAAAATGCTCCAGAAGATTTTATACGATATTTTGACTCAGTGACCGGATGAGGAAAAAAATTTAAAAAATTAAAAAAAAATCGGTCAATGAAATGGTGAAAGCTCAAACAAAAATGACTGTTTTGATAGTTCCAAAGTAATGGTCCTCGGTGTTTTTCTACAGTAACGTTTGTGTGGTCTCGTGCAGAAGGCTAAGGCTAACGACTATTCGGCGGCTGAATTGGCATACCGTAGACGGACTACTCGTTCGGAACGATTTTTCGCTGTTGTCATAAAAATTCATGCAAGGGATTTTTTTTTGAAATGAAGTGAAAATTCCATCATTTCTATTTTGCCTGAGCGGTCTTAGCATTTTTTTCAATGAATGGTGCAGGATGAATGCCATTGTTAACATGATCTAAAGGTAACAATGGCATTTTGTTTTGCATGAAGTTCTTTCAGGACAATGTTCATGTGCGGAATCCACATGTGGCGTGAAATGCGGTCTTTGTACCAGAGATAATGCCGCAGATATCAAGAAATTCATCTCATTGCCTCAGAATTTCGGTAGAATTTAGAAATTTGCAGATTAGAAGCTTTCCCATTAGAAAACCTCTTCAGGTGCACTTCTTCGGATTCGCGCTATTGATCGAATTCTTGTAAATAATGCATACTATACACATTTGAGTACAGAAGTTCGAGAAAAGCGGGGAGCGGCTGAACATCAAATCTCAGGTGTCGTTTCTCTTTTCTTTTTCTTTTGATCGGCTTTGTTTCCTATGTTTACATCTTTGTCATTTCTTAGAAAAGCTAGATATATGGCTTCGAGAATGCAATCCACGTTGTGTTGTACAGAAACCATCTGTCAATGATAGCTATCTCATTCTTGGTGAAGCAGGTGCCTTATCGGTAGATAATTCAGGAAGGTAAGGTTTTTGTGCTAAATTTTCAAAAGTTATTGTTAAATACCACTTTTTAGGCAGCATTACGTTCTTCGTAATATGGACCGATTCGAAAGAGCTACTACGAATTGTGCTCAACTTTCTAATGCAATCATTCTTGAATAATGTTATGATTATGAACATGTATTATGCAGCCCAAGCTGTGAAAGAGGATAATGAAGCTCAAATTTCAATTTAGCGAATTATTCAATTGTCAGTTTGAAAATTGGTGCGAAACAGTGGATCTGTACTTATGCTCGAAATGTCATAATAGTGAATAAACGAGTTATAGCAACGTTTGTGAATTTTTTTTTGCGCTGTACATGTCAGCAGATTATGTAAGGGAAATTATTTCATTGAATCAAGTGGCTAGTGAAGAATACTCTTCTGCGGTTTGGTGTTTTCCTTGCATCTCTGTTTATCTCATATCTTTATTAACGCAACATTCGCCACCTAATTCGCTGGATTGAAATGATTGACATTTTATTACGTACATCTATTCCCTATAGCTTGTTTAATACAAGAGGTTCTATTATCTCCCCTAGAGTTTTTCATCACCATTTCAAGCTTGGATGCAGTGCAGGAGGGACCAAAAGCATCCGCCTGTAGCGGAGATAATTAGGAGCGCGAGCGCTGTGGAGAAGATTTTGACAAGGGTCCAGGGAAACTTGGCGAGCACATCCATTAGAAACAAACTCATAACTCTTCTTGAAATTAACTTTCAAGAATATCAAGGACGGGTTTGAAATCAGTATTGAAAGGCGCATTTTTCAGTAATACGCTTACCAGATAGATAAACCTCTGTCTTGCTATCCGAGTCCCATTTTAACTAAAAGTGTCTTCAAAATTCACCAGTGAAGACTGAGGAATCTTACATTTCAAGTTCAGTGTTGTGTGAAAGATTTTGAGTGAACTTTTAGTCAAAATTGTGGATCTACAGTTGAAAGTAGGAAGTGGTAATCAGGAAATTTTGTTAACTAAGTTGCATGTGATGAACTTTTGCTGTGTACAGCTTCGAAAGGATTACCTTAGTTTCAATGGCGAAACCTATAATACTTTAGTGTCAGAATTTAGAGTTAGATTAGGTTTGAAGTTATGACACAAACTGCATATTGCATTTTAACACAAGCCTCTAAATGTGTCTTATGACATTTTGATTGCTTTGGTCTTTTGACTCAAAAGGCAAACTACTCCTTTGTCTGAAGGGAAAAAAAGAATGAGTTTTGAATGAAAATCCCGGTCTTCAACGATTTGGAACTTCAAAATTCATAGAATAAAAATTTTGTATAAGAAAGCTGAATTTTCATTCCACTACAGTTTCTAAATTGCACTTACTTTTGGGCCCATGCGCCTTCCAGTTTGCGTTACAAATCTGTTTCCTAAATTTTTCAAAGTCATCTCTGGGCAAATTCATGAAGATTTGTTTTTAAAGGATGTCCAAGCCAAGTTTTCCAGGATCCTTACCAAAATATTCTCCACGCTCTCGCGCTCTTATTTATCTCCTGCGGATATAGGCGGCAGCACTTTGGTTCCTCTTGCACCACCACCCCTCTACACGAACGTCCAAAAAATTCATTTCATATACGTTTCTTGGGCAAAACCAACAATCTTTACTCCATTCAATCTCATTATATGGTGATTTGAAAACTGGAAAAATCCTTGCTTTTCTTGGGGTAACGGAATAATACATATCGACATTTTCGAGACGCAGACTGACTGATGATCCGACAGTCCTCACGTCGACTGGGCGGTGCTACCAACTTCAGATGAGCTGGCACTTCCCGGGTGCTCGGGGTCTCCTCCCCAATTATGTTCCCCCACATTTATATCTTAGGGCATACTCCATGCGATTTCACTCGCGACGCGATTTGGCAATTCGCCAGAACTCTTCAGATCTAACGCAAGCGAATTGCTTAGTATGGTGTGTATATCTTACTTGGATTGATAAAATGCCCTAATTTCTGTACATTTGAATTATGCTTACAGTGAGTTTTGGACAGTTGGAGTATTGCCGAGTCGCGTCGCGACTGAAATCCGTGAAGTATGCCCGGCCCTTTACATTTTGTCTTCTCGAAATCAGCAACGTCGAATCACGAGAAACACTGCACCCTGCATTAAATTTGTCCTTTTAATACAGTGAACTCGCATGTTTTTGGTCATCTGTCGCTTTAATAATGTTCTGAATAGAAAATTCCGTTTCTGAACCGATCCGGACCAAACTTGGCACACATGCACTTCGGGGTCGGGCGGGTATCATAGGCCACTTTACTTCATCGATCGGTATCGATTTATCGATTTTTATCAATTTTTTGCAGATTCACCTACGGGGCTGGGATTTGGCACAGGGGGGTAGTCGAGCATGCTGATTACGAATACAATATTAGTTTTTAGAATTATCCATTACTTTTTATCGATTTAATATTGTGGAGGTGTTCAGCATGTTGTACAACCTTCTCCGTTGTACGTAGGTGTGACCCTGATGTCATACCGTACCACTACCGTAATCCCATGGGAGACCGTACCGTGCGAGAAAACTTGGTGGCAGTTCTTCATGTGTTATCCAACGTGAGAGAAAGAGAAAAATGATGAAAGATGAAAATATGGCGAGGAATATACAAATCGGCACAACGGATCAAACCGAGACTGAAATCAATACTTTCACTTCTTGGACGAGTACGAACAGGTATGGCAAAATTTTGGCAGTGATCCAATCTATAGTTTATCACGTATCACTGCAGGTTGTGCCTTGGAAAGAACTCTGTAATTTTTAAAAAGTTTCTGGGCCATTGCTGGCGGCGGAAGTGGATGAGAACCCCCGGAGTCGAGGTTACTTTCCTTTTATACTCGCATTAAGCGGGCTGTGCGGGCGCAACCAATAGCGCAGTGGTGGCAATTTGCGTTTTTCCTACAATTATCTAAAGAGCTTTATTCTCATTACCTGTGTTATACGTTTTTTTATTGGACCTTTCAGCTCCGTCACCGTTTGTGACCACCGCGCTATGGATGAGAATTTCAATTCGCTTGCTGAGAAGCAGAAGGAGGGTGGCGTTGTGTATGACGTGAAAGTTCTCAAGGTGAGTATATAGTTGGACTCACACAAATTTGTTAACAAGTCTCAATAATTCCGAAGAAATTTCCAATAATTTACAAAAATTTTCTCTGCCTATCATCATTAACACACTATTCAAATCAATTGGTCGCTTAATTGAATGTGAATTGATTCGAGTAAGGTAGACGACCTCGTCAGATAGACAGACGGTTAACTGAAATTTCATTTCGCATTCTTACAGCATGGGAAGGGGGCGGTCTTCATTATACTTTACCGAATCTCGAATGAGGGCCTCAGTTCAGTTCATCTAAAGTGAATTAGCTTTACCACGGGCCTATAAGTTTTTTACAGGAGAACGAGTATGAGGACTTCTTTACATCACCACTCCAGTCATCATCTCCTCATGACATATTATCCGCTGAGCAGCCGCTGAAGTTGTGCTCCACGGCCGCGTACGGCAAATTCTAGAACATTTGACCGACGTTCTAAAATTCCTGAATGTGTTCCTGCCTTAATTAACATACGACATCCAAGAATTTTATAGGTGAGTGCTTTGAAACAATGTAAACTACTCAGCTAATTTAGCGAAAAAGATAGTGTTCAGTTCATTCTGAGAGTATACTAGTTGGCAAACCCGGCTCCGCCCGGTCCTGTCAATAACATATTTGTAATCAGCATGCTCGATTGCCCCTCCCCTGTGCCAACTCCCAGCCCCGTAGCTCAAATTTTGCAAAAGAACGATAAAATCGATATTGATCTATACAAAAAGTAGCCTATGACACGCTCCCTGCCCCAAAGTGTATGTGTGCCAAGTTTGGTCCAAATTGGTTCAGAAATAAAAGTTTCTTTCCGCAATACGTACACACAGACATACATACATACAGACATTCAGCTTTATATATAAGATGCGCTAAGTAAAGATATTTGCACCGCAAGGACAAATGTCGTAACATTGAATTGATTTAAGTTTAAGAAGCTTTTAGGCTTTAGTTTTGAGAGTCAGAGCTGACAAACTTCTCAGACTTTCAAGCTTAACCAAAATTTCTTAGACTTCCAAAGTGTTACGTTATGTATAGCATACAGCTATCTGACGAGAGACTTCTCACCTCATCCCCGCGAAGGCTAGCTCTTACAAGGGAATGGTCAGAAATCGAAGTGGCCGTTCCAGACAAGCTGCATACCGTTAGGTGCAGCATGAAGCGCTGACTCTAAATCTGTCTTTACCTGCTTATCGCTTTTCTGGACGAAGCTAAAAGCCATTAAAGAGCATTATTTTGCTTAGAAATTATGCGTGAAATTGAAAATTTAGCCGTAGAGAGCCACGTTCGCCTCAATGCTGGGCCAAAACATGCAGCTAGCTTACTTGAAATTTTTGAAGCCAGAAGCTGAGCTAAAAATGCAACAATGTGCTCAATTTCGCTGTTTTTATTTATGATTTTTTCACATTGAAAATGCTTGTAGCTTCGTCCACAGAAGCGGGAAGCAGATAAGGAAGACAGATTCGAAGTCAGCGTTTTATACTGCATCGAATGATATACAGCTTCTTTGGTTTGGCCACTTCGACTTCTGACCATTCCCTTGTTAGATCTGACCGGTAAATCTGTTTGATTGCTTTTCTATTTGTCCTTTCTAGATTCTAATCAGCAGATGTTTTGGAATGTTTATAACAGGGGTCAGCGGTTAATGAGTGAGCGTCTTTGTCGCGAGCGTAATCCTGGAATATCCATCAGATGGACTGGTAAGTGGCCCCGGAGCAGTGGAAACACCATCTTACTTTCTTTGATTGCAGGAGCGTCCTTTGTGTTATTTATATTGTTTTTAGTAGTATCTCCGCTTATTCACTTTCATTATGTTGCAATTCCCGCTAGACAAGAGGAAAAAAGCATAGTAGATAACGTGAGTCACCTGCGTTAGCAGTGAGTGACTATTTCAAGTTTCAAGTATTTCAAGTTCGTAACATTTTTTGGTGTGTGAATAGTACATTGTTGATCAAGCTTACAAGGAAAGGATACTTGGTGACCGTGGCCTTTTGCAATGAGATGTATACCATTACATGCGCCTTGAAACGCTGATTCCAATCTGTGTTCACTATCTGCTGTGCTATTCCCTGGACGAAATTATGGACTTTTTTCTATATTGATTTTGCAAGATTTAGGCAGTCAGAATCGTCAGTATCCAGGCTTTTTGGACTCTGAATTATCGGAGACAGTTTTTCTGAGCTTAACGTGAAGCTTTACTTTATTTTGACGCTGTTTTGTAGTGCATGAGCGAACATTCTAACGATATTAGTGGATCCTGCATTAAAAACAGTGCAAATTTTTGTGGCAAGAAATGTCCATAACTTCTGTCAAAAAAGCGTACAGCAGATGACGAAAACAGATTTGGAATCAGCGCTTCAAGATGCATTTAATGGTATACATTTAATTTCAAAAGGCCACAGTCACCAAATATCCTTCCCTAGTTAGCACTAAGCATTGGACTTCTTGAAGCATCGCCTGTAACTTTACATCTATTTTTTATATTTCCCATTGTAGATGTCATGTCGCCCACACAATTCGCAATCGCGTAGAGTGGATTACCCAAAATGACTACCTTTCGCCAAATTCACACAATGCATCATGGTGCTTACTGCCTCTCAAGGATGCGAGAGACCGATTGGAAGGGATCTTGATGGTATTCGTATCCTGCCAGTCCTACCCTTTCTGGTCCTAATAATGACTTTTCTGGCTGAATTGAACGGCTGCGGAGGGTTTGAAAAGGTAAGCCTTGTCTGGTCAGTTTACGGCATTTTGTGAACTTTCACAGTTGTAGAAGCATGATGGTGGCATCGAGTTTTCCAGAGTACCTATAGACTGTAAATTTGTGGAGCAGCTTCGATGAAGCCCGTTGTTGTTCATTAGTCTGATGTAGAGGCTGCGTTATCACCTTGTTTACCATAAGTTACCATGATGTTTGATAGTTTAGGTCTCTCCTATTGATGAAATAATGGTTTTTCAGGGATACAAAAGCGTCTTTTATGGGTTGTTTCACACTGCAGTCGCTGCAGCGCTGAACGTCGATCGATCTATATCTTGTGCCCGCCCCAATCTGACCGCTGCAGCGACTGCAATATGAAACAACCCAATGGCACCCGCCATACTTGATCCGCTTAATCCACTTGATCCGCTTGATCCGCTTCATCATTGGTCAATTCAGTGAACTGACCAATAGTGAAGCGGATCAAGCGGATCAAGTGGATTAAGCGGATCAAGTATGGCGGGTGCCTATGGAGGCTGTAGACGAGACGGTGAATAAGCTACAAGCCATGCAATTTTTTTCCTAAATGAATATGTGCTTTATGTTTCGGGCATCATCGGCGTTTCTCAGGATGTGGAGACTGACGATAGTGCAAGTGTTGCTGAGGGTAATACGAGAGAAAAGAATATCAAGAAGAACTGATGAACATCATAAACAAAATCCGTGATGAAGGAGCATTCCGAAATGTGATTGCACAAATAGTCTCTTATGTTCAGCTGGATAGACTGTTTCCAGCTATGCTCGTGACGGATGGTGCTGCTTGGAATATCCCCTTATATTACATGCAGCGTACTGAGCGGGTCTTATCTGTTGCGATCATCTGACATCAAAGCGGACAAATTATGCAAGGGTAGGTATCTCTTGCTCAAATCTTATATTTACCTTTTATTTCTTGCAGAATTGCAAGCGCTAGGATATGAATTGAGCAAGGTATTGCCATCAGTTTCAAGTCACATCATGCAATTTTCACGATGGATGGACTCTGTTCGCAAGACATGTCTGAATCTTGAACATATAAATCGTGAACCAAACGAGTATCCTGTCGGCTCGGAAGACATCATTCGCCAGCAACAGTTGATAGCTTTGAACAAGTACATTATGCGAATGGCAGCGTCAACCTCAAGCCATCACGAACCACCGCAAACATGCACAACAAGTGCTGCAGGCGGTACCTACAGCAAGAAATTGTGAAGTCGGACCCATTGCCAGTCGAGCAGGTGAAGGAGCAGCCTACGACGATGTGTACCGTCAATCGGGAGCATTCGGAACGCCAAGACTCGATTGAAGATCAGCAGCCAGGTCCCCGTCGTGGTAGACAAAATGTTCTTGAATGGTATCACCAGCCGATCGGCAGATGGGAGTTCCCGTCAACGGCACGTTGTTGACAAAGTCATTTCTTCTTTTGCTCCCACCATTTTGTGCCATCATCTCTCGTATTACTTGAAACAACCGTTGGCGCAGCAGTTCTAGCCGCAAATAGTCCGATATAACGAACTTTCACATTTGTGAATGAATGGCTTAGGAGATGCTGCTGTACCTTCACAGCAGCCAGCTAGGACCCGTCAGATTCTTCGAATTAGTGCATATGCTGAATCGTACTCAGGTAAGCACTCTGTGCATGTTTTTAATTTTTGCTCTGTCAGTTCTAATTATTTCATTACGTCTCTGTCTGCTACTAATTCTATCATTGCCCATCTTCTTTACCGTGGTGTATCTTTTGTCATCGTATCGTCAACTCTAAAAATCGTGACGACGGTCTGCAGTGCGGCCAGTGCGCGCCGCACGGCACTGCCTCTTTATCGTAAGGCAATCTTGCTTCTCAGCAGTGTAGGCTCCCTGCGGTAGCCATGAAAGTTCCTGCAAGCAAAAAAGATGCAAAAAGAAAAAGAAAAACCACAAGAACTCACCTTCTCCACGCAATTTGGGCGAATCACTAGGCGGCAGTGCCGTGCGGCGCGCACTGGCCGCACTGCAGACCGTCGTCACGATTTTTAGAGTCGACGATACATACTTCTCGCTACAACTTTGCAGTTCGACGAATTTGATTTCAGCTACCCCGCAGGGTTAATGAGACTGACCGTACAGGAGCTACGTATTTGGGTGCAACAGATCAAGTACATCTGCGCTGGTGACTCTCTACATCCTAAGGATGCATACTCGCTCAACCACTTTTACATCTAAAGCATCTAAATGTATATTCCTCAACGACTTTGTAGCTTTTTATATGCTTTTGCTCACGGGTGACATCACATCCGGGGAAACAGCAAGAGAGTATCTTCATCTGTACCGGTAGAGACGTGATTTCTGTCATAGAGGATATAATCGTCTTCTGATATTATCATTTAGATGGAGCAAGTTTCTAGCATATTTGGTGCGAACGTGCCAAGTATCGACGCATAGGCGTTCAAGATTTTCTTGTCCAAATGCGCAGAAGAGCGCTGTGCGTGGTAGCTGCAATTGGATACCACTTTTCTTTACATCACAGGAGAGGTTTAGTGTGTTTTTGCTGCGTTGTGTTAGCTATCTACATTGTTACTGGAAAGTGCTGAGCGAACGAAAGATAAAGAGAAGGAAATGCACTCATGCATTGTAAGCAAACTCGCTGACGCTAGACGTCTGTCGTCTATCACTACCGTCTTAGAGTAGCACCCGAAATCATTTAGTAGATGAAATTTTAACATATCTGACGTTATCAACCACTGTAATGTAGTCAAAAGCTGGATATATGAATTGAATTTTCGAGCAGTGCTTGAGCCATGTTCCTATGATTTAGGTGCATGTTAAGCTATTTTTATTTTCTGCAGATATACGCCTCCTGTACTACCTCCTCTATCGATCTGAAAAGTTGATACCACGACGAGTTTTGGGTGATAATGATGATGTGCTGCCATGATTACGTGATTTCCTGCAAGAGTTCCAATTCGGATGGTGAGTTACGGTCGAGTAGGTTTTCCGCTTAATGTAGTGTGCCTGCACAGTTTATGAAATGCGGTAAAATTTGCGCGTGAACAGGTAGCTGCGCCAGCACCGCCGGCATTTTGCGCGCGCAGTTGGCTGGCATCACAGTCGAAGCTATTTCCTCACTAGCAAAATTTTACCGCATTTCACCTTCTGTGCAAGCACACTATTTAAGCGGAAAATCTACTCGGCTGTGCATAGTTTTCTCACCAAATAATAGTGTAGTGTAGCTCTTTACATGTATCGTTCATTCGTTGACCGTACGGACTGCCGACCGCATGGCGACTGCGACGCGTGCCTTCTAAACTTGCGAAAAAGTGACAAGTTGGACCGTGACTTAAGATGAGAAGAATTCTTTGTTTCTTTTCTACATTATAAAGATGAGAAGAATCCTCTGTTTTCTTTCTATTCATCTTTTCTACGAAAACATCATGCACGCGCAGCGGTCGCCGCGCGGTCAGCAGTCGTTACGGTAAACGAATAAACGATAATCATATCAGCACAAGAAACAGCGGGGACCCACTTTCATGGGTTTTTCAATTTTTTTCCATGTCCCGCATATAAAGGCCGGGCGTACATTAAGCGATATCATCGCCTCGCGATTCTCCCGGAAATACAGCTTTTCCGAATCCACTGCATGGCGATCATCTTGCATTTCGGTTGTGATATTCTTTTTGATTGTTGTGATTTTTTTCCGAACACAACCAATCGTGACTAAGGATCACATACGAAATGCAAGGTGATTGTTGAGCAACGCACTCGTAACAGTCGTCTTGTTGGTAGAATCGCGGCGATGAAATCGCGCGATGTATGGCCGACCCTTTACACCCCAGTGGCCGTATTCATCAACGAACCCTGAGGGTTAAATTTACCCCCAGGGTTAGTTTAACCCTTAGGGTTCATTGGCCGTATTCATCAACCATAGGGCAGGGTTTGCCACCGAACGCAATCCACCCGTATCGATCAACGAACCTGTGGCCGTATTCATCAACGAACCCTACGGTTGATGAATACGGTCAATGAACCCTGAGGGTTAAACTAACCCTGGGGATAAAGGCGTCAGTTACGCGTGCGCTCTGCAAACTCACATCACAGAATGTCCAAGTACGTGCTAAATTCACTTTATACTTCTATTCTTTCACTGTTATAGTAGTATAATCAACGAATAAGCTTCTAACACTAGTTTTTATAATATACCTCTAGCATATTACTGCAGCATCCAATCTTACAGCGTGAGTTTATTTTCATGTGTGCAGTTGTGCCGTGTAAGTTCTACTTTTGCGCAGTTCGTTTTATACTGGGCTTGTGCTACTCCTTTAGGGGTCAATGCATGTTATCATAAAGTGGTTCTTCTGTTTTGTCACTTGTCAGAGTGGAAAGCGCAACCATTTTTTCTCGTTGCATTCATTTGTCACCAAAGCTAGAATTCTTTTTCTCGCGTACTCAGTGTTTCATGTACTTCGAATTTGAACATAAAACGAAATCGAAACTAAATACTATAACAACAACCTAATACTGAATATACAATACTCGTTGATCGTTTTTAAAACTATTAGATTCGAGTAAATGTTTGTATGAAGTGTCAGGGTAGAGTTAACCTTGCTCTAAGCTAGGGTTAAATTAACCCTGATGAATTACGTAAGTTTTACCCTCCAGGGTTAGTTTAACCCTCAGGATTCGTTGATGAATACGGGTTAGTCGCTTTCGGGGTAAGGTTTACCCTCAAGGATAGATTTAACCCTCAGGGTTAAGTCTACCCTGTGTTCCATGAGTACGGGTTAATTGCTTTCCAGGGTTAAACTAACCCTGGAGGGTTAGTTTAACCCTCAGGGTTCGTTGATGAATACGGCCACAGGAGTGGTAGAGCCGCATTTGCGTTTTGTTGCCGCAGGAATACGAAGTCCGCTTGCTGTTGCGAAATCTTCATCTTTAGTTTCTCAATTCCTGCAGCTATCAATGGTTCTTACGTCGTAAACCAATTATATTGTGCTTGATGGTTAAACAAACCTCTCTCTTTTTAGAGGACCGGTAGTTCGCCTCGATTTGAGGTTCGCCACTGCTTCCAGAAACTATTTGTGCTTTGTTGCGGCAAGAGAGAGTTTCGACAACAACATGTAAGTGCAGTGCTTGTGCATTTGCCTTGACTTTCACTGGATTTCGTTTTCTTTCAGGAAGAGTATGTTCCTGATCCCGACCCTCCGCAAGAGCCGTCAAACGCTCAGGCAGATGCAGATGATTCTGATGAAGATAACGATCCTGATTTCTGATGTTTTCAATCATCGCAGTACTGATCCCTTATGTCTAGCGCACGAGAATCTATTCTTAGATGACCACAAACTTCCGATCACTGCTTTTCTTTGACCGATTTCTTTAACCATATTTGCTTAGTCGTGTAAGGATCTTTAACTGCAGTCTTTACCCTACAGCCGTATGCCCTGCTTTTTTCACTGATTTAGTAGCTTTCAAACACCATATCACGATTTTTCACACATCTGACGATTCACACTCCCTTGCCTGATTTGTTGCAAATTTTATGTGCATTGTTTTTTTTTGTGTATAGCAGCTTTTTGTTGTTGTTTTTGTTTGTTTGACTGTCAATTTCCTTAAATTGAATTTGCTATTTCTGAGTGAGTAAAATCGCTATGGTTATGAAACATGTATTATGCCCCCTCAGCTGTAAAGAGGATAATGAAGCTCAAATTTGTGAATTTAGCAGGTTATTCATACTTTGAGCATTGGTGCAAAAACTATGGATTTGTACTTTTGCTTGATCGAAATGTCATTTTTTTTTTTATCCTTGCAGTGTTCCCTCACGGGGTCTGCTACTCTTTGTCTCAATTTCGTTACGTTTAGGCATTACTTATGAAAGAATGATAAAGACTGTCAATGTACGTTATACATAACACGAAAGTTTGACAATACTTAATCATGTATCTACTCTACTCGTCTACTCTTGTAAGTCTTCTCCATTCTTCAAGATTGTCAGCTTGGTCTTCATTTAAGTCGAGTTCTCTCAAGTCTGCGTTAACTTTATCCATCCATCTTAGCTTCGGTCTTCCTCTTGTTCTTTTTCCCAGGACTTCCACGGACATTGCCAATCTAGCGACGTCATCTTCTTCCTTTCTTCTCACATGTCCGTACCAACGGAGTCGCTTCTCTTGTAATTTCTTAACAATTGGAGCAACTTTCATCGTGGCTCTTATGGTATCGTTGGTAATGTGATCCATCATAGTGACGCCTGTCGTCCACCTTAGCATGCGCGTCTCCATCACACTAATCCTTCGTTCATCGCTTCGCGTACAGGGCCAACATTCACTTCCATATAGAGCAGTTGGGCGGACCATAGTGCGGTACAATTGCGATTTAAGCCTGATTGGCATCCGTTTATCGCATAGAATTCCAGTGATGCTTCTCCATTTCGACCAAGCCGCGTTTATCCTGAACGTGATTTCGTCTTGGAGTCTTCCATCCGCTGAAATGTAACTTCCCAGATATTTGAAGATAGTGGTCTTCTTAATCGAGATGTCTCCAATCTGGATAGTCCCAGGCCTTTGCTCTCCTAGCTCCATATATTCGGTCTTTTCAGTATTAATCTTCAGGCCATGCAGCTCAAGTTCAGATTTCCATTTTTGCACTTCCGATTCTAGATCTTCTCTATTTCTTGCCATCAGCATCACGTCATCTGCGTATATTAGAGCCCATGGAGGTTCACGTATGAAGCCTCTTACTATCGTATCCACGACCGTGATAAAGAGAAAGGGCGACAATACAGAACCTTGATGAACGCCAGCTTTTATTTGGAAGTCTTTTGATCGGCCTGCTGCTGCTTGTACGTGGCTTGTAGCATTTTTGTAGATTATTTTAATCCACTGCACGTACTCTTCTGGCACCATGTGCCTTCGTAGCGACCACCATATTATATCATGCGGTACCTTGTCAAACGCCTTCTCCATGTCAAGGAACGCTGCATGTAGCTCGCATTGCTTTTCCCTGCTTCTTTCGAACATGATTCTGGCAGCGTGAATGGCATCTATCGTACTGCGGCCCATCACGAATCCACACTGATTAGGGGCTAGCTCTACGATGCTTCGCAGTCGCGTTTCCAGGACTCTTTCGAAGATTTTCAATGTGTGGCACATGAGTCTTATTGGCCGGTACGTCGTACAGTCTGCTATGTCGCCTTTGTTTTTCCATATCGGAACTGTAGTACTTTTGTACCAATCGCTAGGCATCTTTTTGGCAGCAATTATCTGATTCAATAGTTGCGTTAACCACTTTACTCCGATCTGTCCACATGTCTTCCAAAATTCGCTTGCGATATCATCTGGACCTGTCGCCTTGCCGTTTTTCGTTCTCATTATGGCGACATGAACTTCTTGTTCTGTGATGCTGGGTACTGGCCCAAGCACAGGATCGGCTGCTATTGTGGATGCGTATTCATGGCTTGTGGATGCCATACCTGCAAAATATTCCCTCCATCTTTCACTTATCTCCTGTGGCTTCCTAAGCATCTTTCCATGAGCATCTTTGACATTATAGAAGTGCTCTACATCTTTTGTGGCGTTTGTTCTTCTTCTCGCTAGTCGATAGACGTCTCGTTCGCCTTCGCGGGTTCGCAACTTTCTGTAGAGTCTCTCCAAATACGTCTCCTTCGCCTCTGTGACAGTCCTCTTTGCTTCACGCCTCACTTCTACATAGTTCTTATGAGCATCTTCTGTCTGTAATTTTTGCCATATCCTGTATGCCACCTTCTTCTTCCTTATCACGTTTTGTACTAATTCATTCCACCACCATGTTTCCTTATCAAGATTCGTTCTTCCTGGTTTAGTGAAGCCCATTTGCTTGCTAGCTATTTGGTAGATGTTATTCTTCAGGATCATCCAAGACCGTTCTGGGTTACTATCCAATTCTGGTAAAGCACTTTTCATGACTTCTTTGGTGTAGTCATCGTTCTTCAGCTTCCACCATTTTATGCGTAC